ACCGTCGCGAAAAATGACGAAATTGCACCCTGCGCGATTTTTGTTTCCGATCAACCAGTCAAATTTCAGCCCATTCCTACACCGTCGCGAAATTGACGAAATTACCCCCGGCGCGATTTTTCTTTCCAATCAACCTGCCAAATTTCATCTCATTCCGACACCGTCGCGAAAAATGACGAAATTGCACCCGGCGCGATTTTTGTTTCACATCAACATGCCAAATTTCAGCCCATTCCGACACCGTCGCGAAAAATAACGAAATTGCACCTGGCGCGATTTTTGTTTCCCATCAACCAGTCAAATTTCAGCCCATTCCGACACCGTCGCGAAATTGACGAAATTGCCCCCGGCGCGATTTTCTTTCCGATCAACCAGTCAAATTTCTGCCCATTCCGACGCCGTCGCGAAATTGACGAAATTGCCCCCGGAGCGATTTTTCTTTCCGATCAAACTGTCAAATTTCAGCCCATTCCGACACCGTCGCGAAAAATGACGAAATTGCCCCCGGCGCGATTTTTCTTTCCGATCAACCTGCCAAATTTCAGCCCATTCCGACCCGTCGCTAAAAATGATGAAATTGCCCCCGGCACGATTTTTCTTTCCGATCAACCTGCCAAATTTCAGCCCATTCCGACCCGTCGCTAAAAATGATGAAATTGCCCCCGGCACGATTTTTCTTTCCGATCAACCTGCCAAATTTCAGCCCATTCCGATACCGTCGCGAAAAATGACGAAATTGCACCCGATGCAATTTTTGTTTCCGATCAACCAGTCAAATTTCAGCCCATTCCGACACCGTCGCGAAAAATGACGAAATTGCCCCCGGCGCGATTTTTCTTTCCGATCAACCTGTCAAATTTCAGCCCATTCCGACACCATCGCGAAAAATGACGAAATTGCCTCCGGCGCGATTTTTCTTTCCGATCAACCTGCCAAATTTCAGCCCATTCCGACACCGTCGCGAAAAATGACGAAATTGCACCCGATGCAATTTTTGTTTCCGATCAACCAGTCAAATTTCAGCCCATTCCTACACCGTCGCGAAATTGACGAATTTGCCCCCGGCGCGATTTTTGTTTCCTATCAACCTGCCGAATTTCATCTCATTCCGACACCGTCGCGAAAAATGACGAAATTGCACCCGGCGCGATTTTTGTTTCATATCAACCTGCCAAATTTCAGCCCATTCCGACACCGTCGCGAAAAATGACGAAATTGCACCCTGCGCGATTTTTGTTTCTGATCAACCAGTCAAATTTCAGCCCATTCCGACACCGTCGCGAAATTGACGAAATTGCCCCCGGAGCGATTTTTCTTTCCGATCAAAATGCCAAATTTCAGCCCATTCCGACACCGTCGCGAAAAATGACGAAATTGCCCCCGGCGCGATTTTTCTTTCCGATCAACCTGTCAAATTTCAGCCCATTCCGACACCGTCCCTAAAAATGACTCTAAGGCATATTGTTTCACCTTTTGTATCTTCAACACCAAACACCACTGTCCCACTGGGCGTGCCAAATTGTTTCGCGCGGGTTAGTCGCTAACAATTAAAAAGGGATCAGACGATTGTGTAAGGGACAAACCTCTTGAGACAAAGTCCCAAAAAGGGGTATTTTTTTATTGGCGATGACTTTACAATTGGGAAATAAAAACAGAATGCTTCCAAGGGGCGCAAGCACACTAGTTACTGAAAAGAAGTGTTTAAATCTAGACTAAGAAATTTAAAGTTACATATTCTCTGTTTGAGAGTGTTTGATTCGGGGTCTTTTGCTCTTTGTCTTTTCTTCCTTTTATACTCTCTGGATGATCTCTTCGTGATCAACCGCTTAAAAACTGCTTGATCGCTCTATAACTGCCCACTTTCTTCGTAGTGGCCAACTTGTCATGGAACTGCCTCTTCTAACTGCTGCCATTACTTTTTGTCGTTCAACCGTCTTCAATTGAATTCCTTGAATCGTGGAACGTGATAGGTCTACTCAATAACTGCTTCATTAACCACATTTTTTGGTAACCATAACATCTTATGTTTGCTAAGATTCTGGGCGACTCGAAAGTTTGGGCGAGAACAGGGTCACAGCTTTGGACGACTGTATGGCAATCCATTCGCTCAAATCTTGGGCGACTTGCAAGTTTGGACGATGGTATTACCGCGTTCATGGGCTTCCCTATTTGGGCATTTATCCTGAATTGCTTGATTGGGCCGTTCTTTGGGCTATCTGATTTGGGGATCCTCCAATTAGGCGGGTTAGTTGCTAACAATTAAAAAGGGATCAGACGATTGTGTAAGGGACAAACCTCTTGAGATAAAGTCCCAAAAAGGGGTGTTTTTTATTGGCGATGACTTTACAATTGGGAAATAAAAACAGAATGCCTCCAAGGGGCGCAAGCACATGAGTTACTAAAAAGAAGTGTTTCAATCTAAACTAAGAAATTTAAAGTTACATATTCTCTGTTTGAGAGTGTTTGATTCAGGGTCTTTTGCTCTATGTCTTTTCTTCCTTTTATACTTCCTGGATGATCTCTTCGTGATCAACCGCTTAAAAACTGCTTGATCGCTCTATAACTACCCACTTTCTTCGTAGTGGCCAACTTGTCATGGAACTGCCTCTTCTAACTGCTGCCATTACTTTTTGTCGTTCAACCGTTTTCAATTGAATTCTTTGAATCATGGAACGTGATAGGGCTACTCAATAACTGCTTCATTAACCGCATTTTTGGGTAACCATAACATCTTATGTTTGCTAAGATTCTGGGCGACTCGAAGGTTTGGGCGAGAACAGGGTCACAGCTCTGGGCGACTGTATGACAATCCATTCGCTCAAATCTTGGGCGACTTGCAAGTTTAGACGATGGTATTACCACGTTCATGGGCTTCTTTATTTGGGTCTTTATCCTGAATTGCCTGATTGGGCCGTTCTTTGGGCTATCTGATTTGGAGATCCTCCAATTGGGCTTCATTCCTTCGACTATTCGATTTGGGCTGAACTTTTTGTGTGTCAACACTTACGTTCTGCACGGCCATTCTATTGGGAGGTATATGGATGGATTGATAGGACAAAGTGTCGACCTCTTGAAGTTCTTCAAGGAAAGAGGAAGAAGTATACTTCATGGCATTATCAGACCGAAAGACTTTAATGGTGCGATCATACTAAGTTTTTATCATCTGCTTAAAATCGCGAAAAGCATTAAGTAACCCAGTGCGATCATGCAAAAGATAAATCCATGTATACCGAGACTAATCATCGACAAAAATAACAAAGTAATGAGACCCGCCTTTAGTAGAGATAGGAGCAGGTCCCCAAATATCAGAATGAACCAAATATCAGAATTACTTTTATTAAAAGGTAAAGCTTTCTGTTTCCCAAGTTGGCAAGATACACAATCAAAATGTTCAAATTTAACATTACCTATGTAACCACTAGAAGCTAAAGACTGAACACACGATAAAGATGTATGACCGAGACGAGAATGCCAAACGCTGGAAGACACAGCAGCACTAAGAGATTGAGGAGAAGAAGAACTAAGCAAATGAAGAGATGTAAGCTCAAAAAGGCAACCAACTTTATGCTCGGTCCCAACTAGCTGGCTCGTCTTCAGATCCTGCACATCACACCCTTTATGAAAAAAGATTAAGATAAAATCACTTTCAACAAGTTGACCAATAGAAAGGAGATTTAGAGACAAGTTAGGCACAACTTATGTTTCAGGTACAGAAAGGATAGGAGTAGAAACGTGACCAAAATGACTAACAGACATATGTGAACCATCAGCAGTATAAATTAAAAGAACAAGATTTAAAGACTTCCTATGGGTAACTAAAGAGGAATCAGAGGTCATATGATTGCAACATGCAAAATCAAGAAACTAAGATGTAGAGTTACCTATGGAGACCAATAAAGCAGTAGAAGTACGGGATAGGACCTGGGTGACAATTGCCTCAATGTCAGTTGCAGAAAGTGACGACAAAAAAGGTTCAAAAGATGAATTAGAAGCTGAGGAGCTGGTGGAGATAGCAGCAACAGGCTTGGAAGAGTAAGATGCATTAGCCTTAAGAGTATCCTTAGCCTTCTTCTTAGGACAATCAGAAATACAGTGGTCATCTTCCTTACAATAGTGGCATTGGCTGTTGAAACGTCGCGATTTAGAAGAAGCAACAGCTACAGCAGGAGTGGCCGGAGTAGATGAGCTAGATGGAGTAGTAGCCAAGACCATATCAGTAGAATGAACCCGATGAGTTTGTTGTTGTGTTTCCTTAGAAATTAGCTCTGTAAGGGCAACCTCAAGTATAGGAAGAGGAGATCGATGGAACAAAGATGCTCGAGTATTCTCAAATTTATCCCGGATATGCATCATAAAATACATGAACTGACGACGATCACGATATTCGGCGAAAAGCTTAATCGACTTCTCATCAGAAAAAGCGGAGTCAGCTTGAGAAAGTGATCCCAAATGCTACTAACCTAAGCATGAAACTTCGCAATAGACTGTCCAGGTTCCTGATGCATTTGAGAAAGCTTAGTCTTCAACTGAAACTCTAGAGCAACATCACTACAATAGTTATAGCGTTTTGCCAAAAAAACCCGAGCAAGTTTGGCATTCTGGAACTTAAGGAATAAACTCTGAATAGAAGGGACGGATGTATTAATAAAATAGGAAAAGATCTTACAGTGAGTACTTTCCCATTCATCAAGGGCGTTATCAAACTTCTCTGTGGGTTGCTTGTCAGTTTTCGTAGGTTTTTGTTTTGTTCCAGTGACAAAACGCCATAATCTCCCACCAATCAGAAAAACTGACATTTGTTGGGCCCAAACATTGTAGTTGGAGCCATTCCAAACAATCTCTACAGGACAAGCAACATCATTTGAAGAAGCCATAATAGAAAAATGATAATGCTAACTAAGTTAGAGCAAAAGGACAGCGCTGATGGAATGGGAATGAAAAATGGCTAGAAGGTCACCGGAGATGACGACGAGCGGCGACAGATGTGGCGATGTTAGATTGGAATGATTTTTGCACCAAATGAAAGCTCTGAAGCAACAAGATTGATTTATGGTATTGAAATACCAAAAGAATCGATGAACTAAGGTTAGAAGTAGTGACAGAGCGACGGAATGCGTAAAAAAAGAAAAAAAAAACACCAACTAGAGGCCAAGAACTAAATATGGCTCTGATACCATGATGAAACTAAGAGAATAGAGGAAGAATTGTGAATAACTTCTGTATTCTATGATAGATAAAACTGTACAAGAACTCTCCTTTTATAAGTGAAGGAGGCAAGCATATAAGGTAAGTAATTAATACTAATTACACAAATCATGCTCTAATTATACAATTACTCAAATCATGGAGATTGACCAAATCATGGAGATTGGTCAATCACTATAATTAGGAAGATATGCTAACAGTTAGAATTTCTCAAATGAACCATGTAATTAATTACTTCAAATGTTGAAATCATTGGAGCATCGATTCGGAGAGATGCAAGATAATTTTTTATGTCACAGCATGCCCGCTCCGGTTGTTGTCACCATTATTGGCGAAGTATGTAAGAAATAAGAATAAAAATATTTTGGTCT